CTTTAGCTGAAGCTTGGCAAGATTAAGTGGCTTTGGGTTTTGGGTCCTGCTGGTTCCACGGTTGTGCCAACCTTGGTGTTGGATGGAGTTGCACTGCCCCAACAGACCCAATGCATAAAGTGGGGGTCCCCGTAGATTCACAATGCCTACTCAATGAGCAGGTAACAAATATGGCTAGCACAGCCTTTGCACAGCTTCATATTGTCTGCCAGTAATGCCCATTACTAGATAGGCAGGCCCTGCTGACAGTCACTCATGCCTAATCACTTCCAGATTAGATTACTGCAATGCTGTCTGCATGGGCTGCCCCTGAAGAGTACCTGGAAGCTTCAGCTAGTACAGAATGCAGCAATGCAAGCACTTATACATGCTCCTAGAATAGCATATGTAACACCTCTGTTCTGCAAGGTGCATTGACTGTTAGTTTGCTTCTGGGTTCAATTCATGTCACTGGCTTTAACCTTTCAAGCCCCTCATGGAATAGGAGTGAGCTATCTGAAGGACTTCCTGTCCCCAGTTATAGCAGCCCATCCTATCAAATCTGGCAGAGAGAGCATTTTACGGGTTCCATCATTTAGGGACATACATTTGATGGGTCTCAGGAGATGTCCTGATGTGGTGCTTGCCTTATGGAACATCCTTCTTGAAATTGGATTAGCTCTACTAATCTAATAGAACTACATATTCAAAACAAACAGGATTTTTTTTAAGGAGATGTTCACAAGTCACCATTTTCACTCATTTAGGGTCTCAAGTCATTTTTCTGTAGTCTACATAGCTACTCATGTACATTAACACAATAATTGTGGTCCATGTTATTCCAAATGTATACAAATTCCTCCAAATTCTTCCATTATCACCATTTATTGGTGAGCAATATAGCTATAATCAATTATATTGTAGGTATACCTACAATCACCTAGATCAGTGGTTCTCAACCTGTGGGTCGGGACCCCATTTGGGGTCGAACGACCATTTCACGGGGGTCACCAAACAAAGCAGTCCGCCATTTTTTTCCCCTTTTCCTTAGCTGTGCTACTCCCTTTTATTCTATTGGCTTTTGAAAGCCAATAGAATAGACTCTCTTGAATAGTCTAATTCTATTGGCTTTCAAAAGCCAATAGGAATTGTCCAGGCTGTCTATGCCCTGCTGAGCCCACCAAAAGTCCCATTCTGCAAACGGTGCTGCACCAGTTGAGTAGTCCTCGACTTACGACCGGTTGGGGGTCGCGGCATTTAAAAGGTTGAGAACCACTGACCTAGATAAAACCAATATATGCATAGAACACAGAATAACAGAGCTGGAAAGGATCTTGGAGGTCTCCTAGTCCAAGCAGGAGACCCTATATCATTTCAGACAAGTGGTTGTCTAGTCTTTTCCTAAAAGGCTCCAGCGATGGGGCACCCACAACTTCTGAAGGCAAAGTATTCCACTGGTTAATTGTTCTCACTGTTGGGGAATTTCTCCTTACTTTTAGGTTTCTTCTCTCCTTGATTATTTTCCACCCATTGTTTCTTGCCTTGTCTTCTGATGCTTAGGAAAATAGGTTGACCTCATCTTTGTGGTAGCACCTCAGATATTGGAACACTGCTATCATGTCTCCCCTCATCCTTCTTTTCTCTAAACTAGACATATCCTTCTCTTAAGCTATGAGCATCACTACAGTAGCCAGCTCCATAGTTGCTAACCTTTGCTACCCTCTTGTTTTTTCTCAATTGTGATTTTCACACAATGCCTTTTAGTAAAATAAAGAAGTGTAAATTAAGCTACCAACCTTACCTGCACCCTCATGCCACATGCAACTTTCCCTACTAATGGTTAGAGTACTATTTCTCAGTTACCATATTGTTTAGGCAATATACAAACTATATTCATGACTGCAGGAATGGATCAATCAGGACTGTTTTTCTTGTAGTGAGCTTAATCTAAAATGGATGAGATTAGGTGTGTATACCAGTGGTGGGATTCGCACCAGTTTGGCAGAACCAGCAGCTAATTTTTTGTTGCCCAGGCCCAGAATGGACTTCCGGAAGCAGCATCCACACAGAACTGGTTGTTCACATATTTGAATCCCACCACTCGTGTATACCACTTTTATTGTATTTTATTTTATTTTATTAGTGCTATAATCCTATGAGCTTTCCCGTGCTCAATTTTCAGTACTTCTATTTTTATTATTTGCTTTAAGATTCACAGCCCAGAGGCCAAGAACCCCTGCATCAGAGCATAATGAAAGTCATGCTGCCACATTCATTATCTTGTATAGGTATTCTGTTTGTAGTTCATTCTTTAAAAAACAACAATTTATTTCAAAATTAGAATGTATTTGCATTAACACAGTATTTCTTAGCAGCTGCAAATTTGTAAATCACAATATTGCCTTGAAAAACTATCCATTATATACAGAGGTTTTTAGAACATCAAACATTAATCCCACTTAATTCTTTTCTTTTCACTCCCATTTTATTGTCCAGGAGGGAAAGCATGAATATAATGCTTATTTCAAACCTTAAAGTCATAGCTTACAGGACCAAGATTTTTGTTACAGGATGAACAAACTAGTATGGAAATATTGATAAGCAGTGCTTTTTTTCTAAAAAAAAAAAAAAAAAGTGCCGGAACTCACACACATCATACAACCCGCCTTGCCTACCCTACAAGGTTCCATCCAAAAAAGGTGCCGGAACTCCATCTGGGTGAGAAAGAGAAAAAAAGCCCTGTTGATAAGTATAATAAACATTGAAGAATTCATTTAAAAATGAGAACTATTGGTTAATAATCAATATTATAGATTTCCCTACATCTCTTACTATTGATTTTATTCAGATTTTGACACAGGCTTCCAATACTATTCATTAGGCTGTTATTCATTAGAACTAGAAGGAACTTCTCTGGTGGCTTAAAGTGTCCCTTCAAAATGTTTCAATAATGCTCTCTCTCTCTCTCTCTCTCTCTCTCTCTCTCTCTCTCTCTCTCTCTCTCTCTCTCTCTCTCTCTCTCTCTCACACACACACACACACACACACACACACACACACACACACCATCCATCCATCCATCCATCCATCTATCCACCCATTCATCCATCCATCCAGTGGTAGAATTCAGATATGTGAACAACCAGTTCTTTGTGTGGATGCCGCTTCCGGAAATCCATTCTGGGCCTGGGCAACAAAAAATTAGCTATCAGTTCTGCCAAACTGGTGCAAATTGGCTGAATCCCACTACAGCATCCATCCACTTCTATGATTCACTTCACTCAAGAAAACTCTGCCCTTTTCTGGAAACAGCAAGTGGTCAAGACATATTAACTCTATCTGTATTCTTTTAATTAAGGTGCCGAAGTAGAGCACATTATTCTAACCATTTCGTAAAGGCTGACTAATCATAATACATGACAATTAAACCATCTTTTCATATAAGAACTGGTGGACCATGTTTCTTTTTTTTCTTTTCTTTCTTTCTTTCTTTCTTTCTTTCTTTCTTTTTTTTGTTACTGTATGTTCTGAACATTGCTTTAAGGTTCACAGCCCGGAGGCCAATGTTCTGGACATTGGGGGGAGAAGAGAAAGCTTATTTTGCCAGGAGGGAAAAGTCATTCATAGGTGATCTCAAAATCACTAGTTGATGGGTGAGAAATTCTAAGGGACAATCTGAATGTCGGAGAAACTATAACAATGAAGGAATAAACTTGAGGGATAGGGTTACTCCATCTTTTCCTTATACCTGTGTCTTTATGTCAGTCATTTAACTTTTAATTTCAGCATTTCTATGACATGGACTTTGTTAAAAGAGAAGGTTCTAGGTTCAGAGGAGCTAGTTTATAGTACTTCTTCCAATTAGCTAAAAGGTACACTTCCAGCTACAACTTACAAGGGTGTCCAATCTGGTGGACTTATTCAGAAAAATTGGCTGCTTGTTGCCTTTTTATATTATTAGATAAATTATTTTTCTTTTAGCCTTGAGAATGTGCTTTTTTATGAAATGGGTGCTTTCCGATTGTTACATCCACCATAGCAATAATCCTGTGGATAAGGATCTGAGTTTGTGATAGCAATCATTTTACTTCCTCAAAATGTTGAATAAACCTACCAGATTGGAGAAGCTTGTAAATTGTAGCTGGAGTGAAGCCTTTGAGTTAATTAGTTTCTATATCTTAACCCCCATGCAATATGTGTGTGTATGTGTAGAGAGAGAGCATAAATGTATCAGCAATTTGATGATTCATGTCTTTGTAATGCAATTACATTCTAGTGTTCTCCTGTTTATTCCAGCAGTGCATGCCTAGCATAATTAAATTGTGAAACTACCCCATTGTATTCCCAAACAATATAAAATTTAGACTGCATTCTTGCTTCTGCATATTGCCAGCTAAAAGGATATGCTTGTGAACTGCTCCTTACACCATCAATTTCAATTGTATGAAATATCCATTCTAAAGCTCTTACTCTGACTTACTGATTTTAAGATGGGAACCTAATTATCTTCTTAAGCTACTGTTTTTGTGTGCATCTGAGAGCTTGTGTAGTGCAGTTGTGACAGCTTTGAATTATGAACTCACTCAATAGCTACAGTCAAGCCAACATGACCTAGCTGTAGGTTCACACTTGTGTACCGACATAATAATAGCAGCCTGCCTTATTGAGCCCTGAAAAAAATATGCTATCATTGACATCATTGTTATCATCACTGATTTCCAACCTTTGCATAGAACCACAGGGACCAACTCTTCTCATCCAACTCTTTGCCTATTTATTATGCAATGAGTTTCTATTTATTGAATCATGACTTTCTTCTTTATGTCCCCATATGGAAACTTTGTTATGCAACACCTGCTTTTTGTTTGCAATTTTTCTGAATTGGTAATAAAGATGTTGTGTTGTTTTAGAAGCTAATCTCCCTCAGAGAAACTTAGGAAGCTGCATTGCCACTAGGTATTGGCTAACTTCCAATAAAAGCTCCATGCACCAATTGATTTTTTTTTTCCTTTTTGTTCCAGCATTTCTCCCTGTTGCTGTTTGGACTGGACCCCCTCTGAAGTTTCTGCTATCAACACAGTCTCGTTGATCATTTCATCAAACGCGTGTAACTCTTTCTTGGGCATTAAACAACAAAGATGAGGCAATGATGAGACTGAATGATTATTAGAGATCAGGCACTAATATTATTCTCCCCCCACCATCTTGGGCCTCAGTGCAGATTTGGCAGCCTGGAGAAACACAAAATATTGTTAGTTACCATCATGAAAGGAGGATAGTTAGCTCTATAACTCTTTCATGAGGAACTTTAACTATATAGTATTTTAAATCATGATGTTCATTTAGCCTTTGGAACATGTACAGTTAAAATTGTTTTTAAATTTTGCCCTGAACTTTCCTCAAAACTTTACTAATACAATAGATACTAAAGTTTAAGGAAGGAAGTAGGAGATCCAGTGACACCATTCAGCTATGACTGCAACTCGTTTATAATTAAGCTTTATGTTCCTGAAGATTTGGGGCTTGAGTAATTTCACCAGAAATGCTGACAGAATCGCAATGATGAAAGGGCTCCAATTTGCAGAAATAAAGAACAAGAGCTCTACTCGTATGAAACATATAATAAGGCTTCTGTAGAAGACACTATGGCAAATTGCATGACTAGTAGGAACGTCTTTATTCCAAGCATACTTTGCTTTCAGAAGGTTGCCTCTGCATTTTTATTTGTGATTACACTGGTCATGTAGCTGGCCACTCCAAAAGCTATTATTTGCCAAATTAGGCCAATTCAAAGCAAATGCTTCATTCTCTACATTGAATTTATTGTGCTAGAGAAAAAGAGAAATGGCACACTATTAGCTTCCTATATTAAGTTTTATAGGATTATGGAAATCTTTCCCACTTTAAAACTCCACTTGAACCATGGCCTCCCACCTCATAATCACAAAGTGTTCTGAGAAAAGCTGATGGAGATGAGATCATCATCCCCCAAGATTTTCTTCCACCGCTTTCTTAGATAAGTAGCATGATTATAACACCCTGCTTCCAATCCACATCATAGATTCCCAGTAACACCTCTTCCATTTACAGATCAGTGTTTCTCAAATTGTGAGATCTATCTTCCTTGGGGACATGCACGGGAGGGTGGCGTTGTATAATGTTACAATAAATTCACCTTTTCCAAAACGAGTACCATGGTGGTGGAGGAGGCACAAATGCTGCCTTTTTATTTTTTTAATGTCTTTATTAAAAATAAAGTTTTGTTGCATTGTGTTCATTGTTCATTTGTGTTCATTTTGATGGTTAGATTTAGAAGAGGTATGCCCATTAAGACAATACTAAAAAAATGTGAGATTGAAAAAAAAAATTAGGAAACACTAGTATAAACCAATTAAGACATCTGTCTATGTTTGGGAGGATACAACTGCATCTTCATTGGACCTCATACAAAACTAGATCTCCTCCACTTTATATTACCTCAAGCCACTTCAGGTTCCCAACTTGTACATCCATTTTACTTGCATAAATGAGGGTTATACATATTTGGGGTATTAGGAGGCACATGCAAGCCCGGTGCCTAACATTTCCATATGCTAAATACCTCTCTAGATGGTTGCTTTATCAAGCACAAAGGTCTGCAGCAGATCTGTGAGCATATGGCAGATCTTTAAGCTCAACATAAAGAGATCTACAACAGAGATCTGTGCAGTACCCATCTATACCACAAGACATTTTCAATGTAAATGTGCAAGCTTAATGGCTGAAGTAAGTTTCTGTGGAGCCAGTATTGTCTACAACATAAAGGAACATGGTGGCAGAACAGAGGCTTAATGATGCTGAAACTGCCCTCCAGAAATGGTCTGCACTTCAGCAGTTTGAGCCCAGTTCCATGAGATGGGATGACTTCCCGCCGCTTGCTCACTGGCTCCTGCCCACCCAGCCCTTTGAAAGCATGCACTATTGCAAATAGGTAAATGGGTACCACTTTGGTGGGAAAAAACCTAGCTATATTAATGTGTGTGTGTAGAGCAGAAACTGGCACGGGACCTGGCTGGACACAAGATAATGCGACATAAGGCAAGGTGAGACCGACAGAGGAGCCCGGAAGAGCCAGAAACCCAAATGCCACTAGTCAGCTGGTGTAAGCTGGTTTGCTCCCTGGGTAAGCACACAAGCACTGAACAGAATAAACTAGCAATTTAGGCTGTCAGGACTGCATTTTGTCTAACATTTTTAGATTTCCCTGACATTGTATGTCATACGCTAAATAAATAAATAATGTCTACAACATGGTGGACACCAGAGACACCATGTCTCTGGGATTTTCATGACAATTTCAATAGCTAGAAGAGACTTCTAACTAATTGCAAAGTAGCACAAAATCCTTTTCCAACTGCTAGAACTAGTAACTGACTCTTTGAGGTGATGCAAAGCACCTTTTTGGTGAAACCAAACCATCTTCTGGTTTCTTCTGATAGCTGGCAGGTTTTGTTCAGAGATTTGCAATGTTTCTGCTTTATGGAATTTTTACAGGCATCCATTTTGCATGGACTAATGAATCTTGAGTCCAGGCAAAACTAGATAAATGGCGGTCAGATCTGCAGGATTTTTACTAAATAAAAAATAAAAAATAAACATAATTTGTCACATTCATGGAATAGTTTACCATAGATATTGATGTCCTTCTTGTTATTTAATCTGGCTGTTCTATGAAGCATTAATAGCTGAGCTTCTATCCTCTGATGACCGATAACCAAGCACACTATTTTTGTTGCTTGTAGTATAATATAATCAAATACTGTTGCTAAGGTGAGTAGCAACCCTCCGGCATGTTATTCATGGCTATCTATTGCCCTAGTTCTTAGTAGATAAAAGCTCATTGTTTTTTGTCCTTTTAGCACAGATTTAAACTATGCTTTTGGTTATACTTCAGATAGCAGAGGATAGTAATTCCCAAACATGTTATCAAACTAAACACCAATTATTATGACCTACAGGATCATTTTGATTCTCTCATCCATAGCAAAATAATTGAAGCAGATATGAAGCTGGGCGTAGGAGTTAATATGAGTTGGGAATGGAATAATGAGTTAAAGTGTCAATAAGTGGAAACCAAGGCAAAATCTTGTGCTCTGTTACTTGCACAAAACAAATGTTTGCATTTCTGTTTCCCCTCTTGTTTCCTGACATTAAACAAATACGATGGATACTTTACCCCAAAGGAAGCTTTGGGCCATCGCTCTCACTGGGGAAGAAATATAAGATCTTGCTGGGAAAAGATGATTTGTGTGATTAGGTATAGCATAGCTCTATCTATGTATAGCGTCTTCCCCTCCACAATCTCATAAACATTTTTCTTCAGAAAGGTTTCCATGGAGATAGCAAAGTTACAGTGAAAATTACTTCTATTCATTTTCCTTAAAAGTAGGTCACTTTAGAGGACAAAGAGATGAAGTGAGGTTAAAAAGTTCTGATAGGTGCTGCTTCATTCGCTGCTCGGAAGTGCAGTTCACCATGGGAACCAGATTTGTTCCTGGAGATTGTCCTGCCAAAGTACTCTCTCCAACAAGATCTGTCACCCTCAAATTCAGTGTTCATGTAAACCAGTAATGGGCTCGTGCCATGCATTTTTCCCTTTTTCTTTTCTGTTTTCCCAGTTCTGTAGCTCTATTCTCCCTTTCAGGTCACCAAAAGGCATTTGCAAACAATTTTATGCTATATTTTCAAATGAAACCAGAGATGCAAATCATTGAGAGGCTCTTTAAATTTTGTTACTTGATAAAAGATGCAGCTGTTAAATTTTCTTGGACTGGGGTCATATACAGTAATGGCCAAAATTGTGGAAACCTTTTGGGAAAAGTGTACATTTGAGGTTTGATGGCTAATAACACCACTTTTTTGGGAGTAGTACCATAAAATTATATATCAATGGAAAGATAATTTAATCAAGAATGTAATGCAATATAGTTTGTTCAATTATTTGTACTGTATTCTATGAAACGTTATAGCCAAATAACCAGAAAAAGGAAGCACAACTTGCTTAGGTTGATTGATATCAGGTAGCTTTCCTTCATCTGATTGTAGCCAGTGAGCACGAGTGTTTAGAGAGCCAATCAGGTGTCATCTTGTTTTGGCAAAGAGCCAATCAGATCACAGTAGGATTCAGTTATTGATGTTATGTATTGAAGCTGAGAGGAGGACATTTGTCAATGTGTTATGTGATTGCTATCAAGTTAGTTGGGGGTTTTTTCTTTCATTTAGTCAGCTTGTAAAACATAATAAAATTAAAGTAATGGTGCAAAGAGTTGACTGGTTGCCCAGAAAGTGATGTAAAATAGTATTATTAAGTGAACAAGGCTACAGTTATAAAGAAATTAGAAGAAAAATTGATGGAAACTTAACCAAAGGTGGCATTTCTACTATACACTTTTCCCAAAAGGTTTCCACAATTTTGGCCACTACTGTACACACTAGGCAATCCTACTCCCATTGTTTAAAAGCCACTTTGGGGCACCACATGGATGTACCTCAGCCAGGGAGCAGTTTCCCTTGGCACTGATGGGACTACATCTTTCTTCCAAAGATAGAAGCATGTAGTATTGGGATATTTTTTTTTCAAATTGGGGGGAGGGTATTTGGGGCAGCTCAAGAAGGTTTGCCTCTCTTTTCTATCAAGCATGTAGCAGAGATTAAAATGGCTATTTTATATAATTAATACCTTTTGTTTATTGAGTGCTTTTATAGTGTGCCCTCTTCTCAAGGCTTCTTCTTGTCCCTCAGCTAGATTGAGGCAGCTGATCTAGAGTGGTGTCTAAACTTAAAGGAAGAATACTGTTATTTTTTTTATTCTAGACAGGGGTCTCTCAGTGGTGGTCATTGCTTTCCAAGGGCAGGTGCAACTAGATGTTCAAAGCCTTGCTCCTTTTAATGTGCATTACATACACTGCAAAATGTAACCAGCAGAAGAAATAACTCTGAAGAAGAGGAGGAAGAGGTAGGCCAGTTTGCTGCCCTCTCTTTAAAACCTTCATCAAATTGACACGTTATGAATTTCCCTTTTATTTTAGAATTCTATTTTAAAGGAAGAGGTATATTGTTGTTAATGGTTTTGGGGGGGGGGGTTAGGGATGCATAGATCTGCCTGGAACCTATCTGAAATCGTAATTCAAAGGTGACAATATTTGATTCGAATTTGGGCTTCACAATTTAAAAGCAGTAAGATTATAATCAAATTGAATATTTGAGATTTGCTTCAATGATAGATTTAACTAAGGGAGAACTCAACTTGTCTACAGCTGGTTTTGTGGGGGACTTGTTTGTTTTTGTTTTGTTTTTTGGGTAGAATTGAGTGGAAATATCAAGAGTGACTGACCCTTTAGGGAACATTAAACCTACAAAGTTTGGGTAATATGGCTTCAAGAGAATCCCCATAATAACATTTTAACATATCCCATCTGCTTCTCTTTTAAGACAAAAACAAAGATGAGGAAAAGTTTAGCAAAGAACTTCCAGAGAAACTGGGCTGAGTGGGAACAGTAAATGTCTTACCCCATCCTAAAAATACATTTTCAAGAATTGTTTAAAAAGTAAGTCCCTGCTAAACTTCAGAGAGACAGGCCACCCTCTGACAACCTGCTTTTCTTGGCAGCATAACATGTTGGCATGACATATTGCTTGTTGGCAAAGTTAGCCTCTCCTGGGAATGACATGTTATGTTGATTCCACAGCATGAAAAAAAAAAACTTGAGAAGTGTTGTATTATCATTCTTTTTAATGTCATAGATCAGTGATGGCGAACCTTTTAGTGACCAAGTGCCCAAACCACAACCCAAAACCCACTTATTTATTGCAAAGTGCCAGGGCCACATCAGCATTGTGATGCCCTCGGGGGGGGGACAGGGAGGCACCTCTGAGTGCCGCCTCTGGCACGCAAAAACTGGGGGCACAAAAATGGGCCACTGTGCTGCAAGGCACAAAAATAGCCACTGCCACGCTGCGGGGTGCAGATACAAGGTGCTGCACCATGTAAGAATGGGGCAGGGCTAGTGAGTAACACGCAGGCACTAGCCCCGCCCCATTTGCAGCAGGTGCTTGCTTGTGGCCCCATGCACACATGCACACATGTAAAATGTTTCCCCCTTCCTTTTTTTCCAGTCCATCAATCGACAATGGTTGGTGACCTCTGCTCTACCACCTCTACTTGAGCTTGCTATTCAACCGCTTCACCTCCTTTGTGCTGGGTGGGGCTCCTGCTCCGGGTGGCGGTGGCAGCC